GGCTGGATTCCAGGCAGGACCTGCTGTGTGGATTGAGGCCCAGGTAACCCTTGCTGAAGGAAGAGGAAATCTGGAGCTTTGGGTCTAAGAGAGAAGGGATGTAAGAGCCATCATCCTGATTCCTAGAAGAATTCTGGAATCCTTTCATAGAAGCTCATAACACCTCCAAGCCTTCCTTCCCTGTATTCCCATCTTAAACCATCGATGTAAAAACAGAACTACAACTCCCATGAGGTCTCAGAGGTGAAACCAACTCATCAATCTCCTGTCTGCCCCATAGCCCGATGGGAGTTGTAGTTCTTTTACTCTCCCAGGTCCCACAGCTGGATGAGAGTATTAGGGGGAGAAGAGTTATAAAAGAGGGCTCCGAAGGCCCGGGCGAGGGGGCGGGGCAGGGACCTGAGCTACCGAGTCTGTGTCTTCCAGTAGGAATAGGACCTGCCTATGGTTGCAAACACACACAGCTCTCCACCCCCACACTTTTCTTTCCTTGCACTCACTCCCACTCACTACTTGAAATGCGCATGTATAATGTCCCATGGTGAGCCGCTGAGGTTCAGAGGCTCGGCCCCACTCCTGAGGGAAGAAGCAGGGTCTGGGAACATTGGTCTTATGGAAGATGAGAGGATCGAGGACCCAGACTCTCGAATCTGCGGAAAACGGCGCCCAGGGATGTGGGGTCGGGCTCCGGGTCTGCACCCTGTTTGCACCTGGCACGAAGTTTCCCTGGAGATTCTCCTTGTAGCTCCACCAGTCCTCGGGATCAGGTGCGGGTCCGATGTGAGCTGGGAAGAGAGCAGCTGCATCCCTCTCCGAGGCAGCCCACCCTGCTCCTCCCTCAGGAGCTCCTGCCGGGACCCCTAGGTCTTACCTGCGGCTCCCAGTGCGGCCCAGAGTACCAGCGCTTGAGGGGCGCTCAGGCGAGCCGCACCCCCCATCCAAGAGGCCTTGGAGCGACCCTTTCCCAGCGCCCGGCCCCCTAGCTCTTTCCTCCCCTCCTCCTGGTACTTCCAGCCTGGCTGTCCCCCAGCACGGGAGCCCTAGCTCCCGGGAGGCAGGGACTGGAACCGTGCACCCCAGAGCCCGTTTGCAGCGCACTCCTCCGCTGCCCTGGGCCCTCGCCCTGTGCTCCTATCTACCTCCCGGAGCTACGATCACCCTCACCGGCCCAGGGTCCCTCTCGGTACCAATGCACACCCCCTCTTCTTTCTCATCCAACGAACCCGGCCGCGCACTCGCCGCGTGCGCTCCCCTCCCTCCGCCTCCTCCCTCACCCTGCTTTCTCTTCTTTCCTCCGTCCTCCTCCTCCCTATTCGACTCTGCCTTCCCTTCTTCCTTCTATCTCACCTCCTCCCTCGCCCTGCGCTGCCTCTCCCTTTTTCCATCTCCTCCTCCCTCCCCCTCCCCCATCACCTCTGGTCCTGCTTTCCTCTCCCCCACCCGCTTGCTCCCCCTGGTTTGATGTTTGGCTGGGGGCCTCCGCAGTAGAAAGGGCCGCACCCCTGGGCCCAGCCCTGGAAAGGAAGGTGCAGTGCAGCCGACAGAGCCCGAGGCCCCCAGCTCCAGGTGCCAAGGCCAGAATGGACTGGGCACTGGGGGCCCGGCGGCGTGCAGAGATGCTGCTGGCCGGGAGGGGGAGGCAGAGGCGTGGGGGACTGGAGGGTGAGAAGAAGGCTGGAGGTGAGCTGAGGCTAGGAAGGAGGGACAGGGTGCTCAGAAGGGGAGGGGCGGCAGGTTGTCGCAAGATGTCAGGTAACAGGGAAAGACAGAAATGGAGAGACATAGGGAGGTCAGAATCAGGCAGAAGAGAGACACTTACAAGGAGAGAGATACAGAAAGGAGAGAGAGACAGAGAGAGATTGAAAAGCATGGTGTCAGGAGACAATGATGTCTAAACACAGACCAATGGTGGTGCACACTGTGATTCTGGCACTCGAGGCTGAGGATTTGAAGCCATCCTAGGCTACATAGTAAGAGCTTGTCTAAAGAAAACAGCTAACAGCCCACGGAAAACAAGAATGAGTCACAGAAGGAAAGAGAGGTGGCAAGAGGCAGGCACCAAGAAATAGGTTAGAGACAGAAGCAGAGAGTCCCACCCGAGGGCTTAGAGGAGCTGGGTGGGCCGGCAAGAAGGGCAGAGAGTCAGATGGATGCAGAGAAAGAGATGCAGAGACACATGGTGAAACAGACATTTAGGACAGGACAGAAAGGGAAGGGCCATTCAGGCGGGAAATGGAGGGTAGACAGAAGCCCAAAGATAATGGAGACACCAAGTGTAAAAGGACAGAGAAATGGAGGCAGAGCTGGAGTCACACACCAGGGACCCATACAGAGTCACTCATTCACAGAGCAAAACCAAGGGACAGATCCACGGGCAGAGGACAGAGCCCTGTCACCGACCAAATGGTGTGAAGAGAGCACCTAGGACAGAGGGAGGTAGGCAATGGATGTGGTCAGCTGGAAAAGCTGGAGACCGCCTGGCCATGTCTCAAAAAGCAGAGCAACACAAGGGAAGTAGACCAGGGAGCGGAAAGCAAGCAGAGAAGAAAAGAGGACACACTAGAAGTGAGGATACCGGCCGGGAGATCCAGCTGTATGGGCTTCTCTCAGCCAGAAACTGCTCGTGTGGGCTCGCGTCGGCCTAGTCCACAGACAGAGTGAGGAGGCGGACTGACTAGTGTTCACACTGCTGCTGAAACAAGGAACCTAGGAATGGCCTTATGTGACAAGGGGGTCTGAGCTTGCGGGGCAAGGTGTTGTTTCCCCCACTACTAAGGATAGAACCCGAGGCTTTATATATGCTAGGCAAGCACTCTATTTCTGAGCCACACCCCCAGTCCCTCTGCTGGGGAATTTTAGGCAGTGCTCTACGTTTAAACAGGCAGCTAGACCCTGACTGGGGAGTTCTAGACTAGGGACATCTCTAGCCCTTTTGTAACTTTTTCTTTTAAAACAGTTTCTCACAGATGGGCCTTGAACTCATTCTAGTTCAGGGAGACCTTGAACTTTCCATTCTCCTGCCTCAGTGTTCCATATAGCTGGGATGACCTACATCAAAGAACGAGTTCCCTTAACAGCCAAGACAGGGAGAGTCAAGACAGAAGCAGAGACAAGAATGAAATGGCCACAAGCCAAAGGTTAAAGGAAGCCCCCGAGCCTGGAAGAGGCAGGGATGACCCTCTATCAGCTTAGTGTGGCCCTGCCAACACCCTGACTTTCAGTTTTAAACTCTAGAATGTGAGCTGTAATCACAGAGCTTTAGTGCCAGAACTCTGGAGGCAGAGGTAGGAGAATCTCTAAGTTCAGGGCCAGCCTGGTCTACAGAGCAAGTTCTGGGATAGCCAGGGCTACACAGAGAAAAACCAAAAACCAAAACCCAGCAACAACAAAACAAAAAATAAACTATGGAATGTGGGACAAGTGCCCATTTTCTTATGCCTTGTAGAACAATGGGGGGAAAAATCGTTTTTGTTTTTGTTTTTTTAAATCTAAAATCTAAAATTTCTGTATAGCTCAAGCTGACTTTGAACTCCAAGTGCTGAGATTACAGGTATATACCATAGCTGGCTTGGAATCTCTCTTCTATTCCAGGCCTTTAACCTCTAGAATTTTACCATCATTTTTGAGACAGGGTCTCATGTAGCCCAGGCTGGCCTCTAATTCGTTAGGTGGCTGAGAATGAACTTGTGATCCTCGTGCTTTGTAACTCTCCAGTGCTGGTAGGCATTTACCACCACACCTGGTTTACAGTGGGTGGTGGGAGACCAGACCCAGGGTCTCATGCTAGGCAAGAAGTCTGTGATTTGAGCCCATTTCTCCATCTTTCCAAAAAATTTTCACTCCATCTGGATTCCCCTCTCTCCCTTTACTTCTAGGCAAATTCCTACCAGAACAAATATAAATTTCAAAACAGTAAAGTCATTTGGCTATGCTGGGGAGGTGGACAGGGGCCTCCTCTGAGGTCTGGTGGCCACCTGTGCCACCTCCTTTACTGTGCACAGATAGGCAGGCTGACGCTTGGAGGCCTGGCTGGGAAGGGCCCAGTTGGCAAGTGGTACAGATGTGGATTTCACACCAATTTGCTTCGGCTGCTAGAGACAAAGCTGGCGTCACAGGAACACAGAAGGCTCACCCTGCTCTGTGCTTTCATCTCCTACACCCAGGCTCTTGGTGGGAGTGGCAAAGCCAGAGCACCAGTGTTCCCACAACCCCTGTGACCTTCCTTAACCCCCTCTCCCTGCCCTGGAAGCCCACTACCTCGGGATCCCAGCAAGGACTAATTCATCCACCCAGAGGGAGGAAGGCCTCTGGGTGTTCAAGTGAACTCATAGTGCTTACTGTGGGCCAGGCCTGTTCCACACCCTTCATGTAGATTAATCGCTTTTGTCTTCAAACTGTACTTGTTAGATAATCCTTGGCCTCCTTACACTCCACCTCCTAAGTGCTGAGAAGTGTGCCACCATGCCTCTAGACTATATTCCAAGATCAGGCAATTTTCAAAGTCCCCCCACCCCCGGCTATCTTGAGATCCCTTGGAATAATAAAGTATCTATATGCCAAACTTTTTGGACATATGATACTACTAGGCACCTTTGTCAAATTTCTTGCCTTTCCTGGCCATACCTAGTCTATTGTCTTTTGGCGTTATCAAGCAAGACAAATCTAACTAGAACCAGTGACTCTGCTGGAGTCTTTTCACTCCAAGCACATGGGCCACTTTGTCCCAGATAACTTACTTAGAACTTCTTGGCAAATCTACCCAAGGCCTTCTTCACTTGCCCCCTAAATACTCCCACAACATGGATCAGACACAACTTCACAAGACAAGAGACTTTATTGTGACAAATAGCCTTTAGGCTCAAGGGCCAAAGCAGTAACTTCCGGCTGCTTGCGGCTTCCCGCCTTTTGCGCCCACATGGCAGAAGCATTGCGGCGTGACGTCACGAGCGCTGTGGCTTCTGATTGGCTCCTTAGCAGTTGAGGCCGAAGGCTCTGCTAACTCACACGTTGCTCCCGGGCCCAGGGCTCGGCGTGGATGGGCGCAGGCCGCGGCAGGCGCCACTGCGCTCCTTCTGTTGCAGCCGCCGCAGCGGCCGGGCCCAGCGTGGCCTCCAGGACAGCGCGAGGCTGTGGCGGTTCAGGACGAGGCGCGCAGGGTCGGGGCCCTCCGCAGCACTGCCCAGCAGGAGGTAGTGGGCACCCGGGCGCAGGCGCAGGCAGCCGCAGGCTAGGTCGGCACGGGGCACCCAGGCCTCCTGGCCTCCACGGCGCACGGGCCACGAGCGCTGCTTGAACACGGCCAGCACGTGCACGGATAGCCGCCACCACTCAGGGCCCAACGAGTGGACCTCCGAGACCGAAACCTGTGCGGACTCCGCAACCTGAGCGTGCAGGACTGCGGGAAGACACCAAGTCAGGCAAGCGGCAGGCTGGCCCTGAGGAGTGAGGCCAGGCCTGACACTGCCATGTGGCGGTGGGATGGGGCAGGCAGGGTCTAGATCAGTGGTTCTCAACTTGTGGTTCGCTCACAAGCCCTTGGGGGCATCCAACAACTCACAGTGGTTGCCTGAGACCATCAGAAAACATTACGATTCCTAACAGTGAAATTACAGTTGTGAAGTAGCAGCGGAAATAATGTTACGGTTGCAGAGGGTTCACCACAGCGTGAGGAACTACATCAGGAAGGTTGCAACCACTGGTCTTGATGTGTGCTGGACGCTAGTGAAGTGGGGGAAGGGAGACATCCAGGATGATGGTTGTAAGGACCACGTGAGTTGCTGGGGTGAGCGTGCCCAAAAATGGAATTGGGAAGAGCGTGTGAAGCAGGGTTCAGGGTGATGCTCACCAGAGGTCAGGCAGGGAGAGCATCCTGGGAGCTTCAGTCAGTGCTGGCTGAGGCTCTTGAGGCCATGCTACTATTAACAGTAGCCTCAGGATTCCAGGGCTACTGTTTTGACAACAAGGTCTCACTAAAATGTTGAGGCTGGTCTAGAACTTATTCTGTAGCCTAAACTGACCCAGAACTCACTGCACTCCTTCTGCCTCAGCCTCTGGGAACTGGAGATTTTGAGCCTGCACCCCTATGCTTAGCTTTGTCCTGAGTATTAATGTAACAGAATGAGGAGGTCCCCAGGAGTGGAGGCCTCAGGAAAGAGTGGTCGTGCTAGAAAGGCTCTGGGGTGAATTGGGGCCTCCAAAGGATGAAGAGGGCTAAGGCCTGAGATTTGCTTCAGATCATGCTAGTGTTGAGTCAGTGCTGTGGTGGGGCTAGGCTCTGGCTAGCAAGGCAGATCTGTAGGATCAGTACCCCTGAGGAGAGGGTGGGAGAAACTCCAAGACTTGTGACCCTGAAGACAGTTGATTGTCCTGAAATCCAAGGGGCCCATGGTCCTGTACAGAGGGAAGTAGCTTTGTTCTCTGGCTAGGCCCTGAGTACCTGAGACTGAAGGAAAACAGGATAGGACAGGGGCCTAGCATCTAGATCCCTCTCCTCCTTGCAGCGCTCAGAGATGTTGGGCTGAAGGACAGCACAAAACTGCAAGTGCAAGAGTACGGGGGACCAGAAGACACAGGAAGGGAAGGGAAGGGCATCCCCCACTATCTCCCACCATCGTCTCCTGTTCTGCCACATCCTGGCAGATGACAGTCTGTTAGGACCTAAATCCTTTCCCATTTAAAATAAGAAATGGAAGGTCAGAGGAAGGCAGGCCCCTTTTCTCCATCACTTACTATAATCCTGCTGGCAGTACCTCTGAAGGCTCATGTGCACGCTGGTGTCCGAGACGTTGCAGTAGTTTTGACACTGTGGGTCTGGAGAGGGTCAGGCTCTCTGCAGTGGGCTCCCACGGCCTGGGTCACAGCCCATCCCACCTCCCCACCCATTTCTATAGACAGCTGGACTGTTGGCACCCTCAAGAAGGGCTGGAGACCAGGCATGGTGGCGCACCCCTTTAATCCCAGCACTTGGGAGACAGAAACAGGCAGATTTCTCTGAGTTCGAGACCAGCCTGGTCTACAGGGCGAGTTCTTCCAGGGCTGCCAAGAGAAACCCTGGCTAAAAACAAATCAAAACAACGAAAAAACAAAACAGCAACAACAAAAAAGGAGCCCAGTCATCCCGTCTCAGATCCCTTTGCTGCTGTTCCAGCCTCTTACCAGGTCGAGACGCAGCAGAGGTGGCGGCAGGAGTGGTGGTTGCCTCTGGAATTCCTGGCGGCTCAGAGAAAAATTCAACTTCAACTCTGGGAATCCAGGCAAGCCAGCTCTCAAGGGCACAACCATCCTTGACCCTCTCCAAGACCACCCCCTTCCCTCATAAGCCCAAGGAGTCCAAACCTCAGCCCTTTTTTCCGAGGTTGAAGAGTCTGTCATTTCAGACCCGATTCCCTGAAGAATCAGAGCTCTTCCACGGTCACCCAAAAGCCAGCGCCACAGGCTGCAGTTGTCCACTGAAACCTGGCCTGTCACCTCCCATCCCAGTTCAGGGTTTTCGGCTTCCTGTGTTTGGGACTCACGTTGGCAGGGCATCTTGGGTGAGCGGCTCTGCTGGTATCCAGGACCACAGCGGTTGCATGTCAGGCCTGTGACCCCCAACTTGCAGGAGCACTGGCCACTGGTCTGGTTGCACATCCCTCCTGTAGCTCCAATCGGGTGGCACTGGCAGGCTTCACGACAAAAGGGATGAGATACTTGGGACCAGTAGGCGCCCTACAAAACTCATGTCCCATTCCCCAAACCTGAGTCTAGACTCCAGCCTCCTCCCTCACCCCCACCTCTGTACCTGCCAATACAGAATCCTAGCTCTGTGTCCTTTCCCCTTTGGCTTGGCTTCAGGCCACACTCACCCCTGCATGCCTTGTGACTAGTGATGGGCTGGCTTGGGTCCCTCCAGAACCCTGGCTGGCAGTAGTGACAGTGCCGCCCAGCTGTGTGGTGGCGGCACCGCTCACACACACCCCCACTACGGCCACCTGACAACCTGAATAGCTCGGAGTTGAATCGGCAGCGTCGGGCATGCTGATTGCAGGAGCAGGCTGGGGACAAGATGAGGTCAGAAACTGTCACACAGGCATATTAGGTTCAGATCTGTCTCCAATCCCCAGCTTCTCCCTGCCGTCCTGCTCTTGTGGAAGGGTGTAGGGCTGCGGTGTAGAGGCTGCCTTCGGCTCATCCCCAGGGCAGCTTCACTCTCCATCTACACTGCAGCCAGGTGTGGCATAGGGGTCAGCATTCAGCCTGCAGCCCTCCCGGGAGGACACAGTGCTGAAAGAATGGGCTGGGTGGGGCAACCCAGCCTCTGCCTGAAGGGGCCTGCTTCAGGGGTCAGTAGCTGCCTGAAGGGGCTCTGACCTGAAGGGGTCAGTAGCTCAGCCCCACTGACCACAGGATGGCATTAGCTGTGTTTAACCCAGAGTATGCACTAGGCCTCTAGGACTCCCACGCACTAGGCACCATGAACCAAACGTGTGTCTTTCCAGTCATCACCATTCCCATCCATAGGTGGAGAACGAGACAGTGAAGTCACCTGCCCAAGGCAGCAGGCTGGAGGGAGCCCGAAGCACAGTCTGGGCTGTGGCAGCAGCTTCCACTAAAGCCCAAAGGCATGCCGAGCACGTGCATTTTCCTGGGAGCGTTCTCAGATTCTTGAAGGCAGTGCCTGTCTAACCCCACTGCAGGGGTCTCTCTGACCACCAGGGCCTGCAGTAACAATCCACCAGAGGCAAGAAAGTAGTTCCATTCAACACCACCCAGTAGCTGATGTTGGTTCAAACTCAGAGTCTGCCCCAGTTGTTTATTTTAGGCATAGTTAATTAAGCTAATTAAGTTAATTAACAGCACAATTTGGTGAAGTTTCTTGATGACAATTAACTCAATCCTGTATGCAAAACAAAGCTTAAGAAAATTGAAACTTGGGGCTGGAGAGATGGCTCAGTGGTGAAGAGCACTGTCTGCTCTTCCAGAGGACCCAGGTTCAATTCCCAGCACCCACATGGGAGCACACAACTGTCTGTAACTCCAGTTCCAGGGATCTGATGCGCTCTTCTGGCCTCTGTGGGCACCAGGTACACATGAGCATAGATACATGCAGGCAGAATACACACAAACATAAATAATAGATATTTTTAAAAAGACACTGACACTCCTTGTAAAGTACAGGAGACATCTTCCATAAAGATGGGTTCCATAGATTCACTGGGAGAGCAAGGTCACAATAAGTGTCTGGGAGAGGATCCAGTGTGGTCTCAGCCACATAGATAGCACAAGGGTCACCAGGATGTGTCCACTCCCAGCCTTCTGGGTAGAAAACAGGTTACACATCCCTCCCTTGGAAGAGACAACTCTGTATGTTTATAACATTCCTGGTTCCCTCATGCTTCTCTGTGAGCACAAGGGCCTCATGCCTCCTGCTGATCAGAAACACTAGGAAAACAACAAAACAAAACCCAAACCTAAAACCACGAAAACCCCATCCATATAAATCAGTGGCTCCTTCAGCACCCCCAAGCCTAGGGTTCTGTCTCTCGAAGGAATTTCAAAGAGATGTTAACACAGAATGCCTGGTCACTCTATGGAAAGTCCTGGACTTGGAGGCTTGAGCAGGCAGCTCCCGGGAGCAGAGCAGAGGAATCCCAGTGTGGTGAGGGTAGAGGCAGCTGTAAAATGCCAGTCCATCCCCTGAGCCTCTGGTCCCGCTGTGCAGTGAGGCTCTCTGCTGGCTCCCAAGGGCTTAGGTGGTTCCCAGTGGTAGTGCTGCTGCAGAGGCTCACATTGGCCGCTTTCTGACCCAGAGTAATGGCTTTGCGTCATTCCCTTTCTGACAACTTGACAGGAAGGGGACAGTCAAGCTACCTTATCTGTAAAGCCACAGGGATGCACCTCTCATCCAGCTCCCCAGGGTTGCACTTGTCTTAATGTGGGTAGCTGTGCTCATCCTCAGGGATTACAAGCTCCCTAGCACCCAAGCCCGATGAAGCCTGTCCCAGCATCAGTCTCCCCTGGTACTCCCTGGGGTGTTGGAGGGCAGAGAACTGATGGGTGTGTATCTGCCTGTTCTGTCTGTCTGCATTAGTTGTCCATGGGCCTGAAGGTCACAGACAGGTGGAGCTGACATTGTGGCTGAAAGAAGAGAGGCTAGAGTATGTTCTGGAGATGACAGCATCAAGGAAGACACGTCCCTAAGAATCATCTTGGCTCTGTGTTCCCGCCAGGATCTTTTTTCTACCTGGGAATGGTATAATGGCAGGTGCTCAGAAGTGGTGGAAGGACAGAGCTCTGCTCCCAGGCCTCACTGTCTTCTCTGCAGCCATAAGGATAGAGCTGTCACTGCCCCCCCCCCCCCTTTATAGGGTTAGAAAACAGGCACAGAGAGGTCAGATCCGTGCCTGAGACCACATTACTGAGAGCCGAAGAGCTGAAATTGGGCAGGCCATCTACTAACACTGCTCCTAATTGTGTCCAGGGGCACTTAGTATGACAGCACCCAGTGGGAGCTGGGCAGGACAGGATTCATGCTCATACCAGCGTGACTGTGTAAGTGAATTATGGCTAGTCTCCTCATCCAGACAGTGGGCTGGCAGCTGGTGGGCCATCAGAATGTTTTATGGTTAAATATTCCGGGTTCCATGTCTCCCAGGAGTCAGGAAGTGTGTCTGCCCAGATCTTTGCCCAAACCCATTTCCACACCAGACCTGGGGTAGGTTCTGCTCAGGACTGTCACTGTTGTCACGTGGTTACATCTGGTGAGTGGAGTCCCTGACAGACGGTTCCGTGTGTGTGTGTGTGTGTGTGTGTGTGTGTGTGTGTGTATGTGTGTCTGTCTGACATGCTTGACAAACATGGAAAGGAAACCAGGTCCCAGCACAATGTGAGGACGAGCAAGGAAAAGCAGTTTTGAGGGGAAGAGGACATTCTGCATGCTTTGGGAGAAGGGGCCCAAAGCATGTTGTCCAGGGAGCCAAGTGGTGGCAAGGATTGGGGCCAGGACCCATGACTTACGCAAGCACGGGTGAGGATGCTGGGGTGTGGCAGGCCGCCAGGGCCAGTCTTGATGGGATGGGCGGCAGCTTTCACACCCTGGGCCAGTGGTGTGGTGGCGGCAGCGGCAGCGTGGGGGCCGTGCCCGAGCAGCACAGCGGGCAGCGTGGCCATGGCACTGGCAGCGGCCTCTTACTCCAGTGGTCATTAGCCCCGCTTTTCCGCCAAACTCCACACGGAGGTGGCTGGCCACTATCCTGGCCTTGGGGCCAGGTGGGGAGTGAAAGGTTACCTTCTCGGGGCCCCCCAGAGCCCCAGGCCAGGCAGGCCTGCGCCATAGTGGTCTCCAAGGACCTCCAGTGGCCCAGGCAGCAGAAAGAACCAGGGCTGGAGGCCCTGGGGTACAGAAACGCAGGGTGACAGACGTCAAGAGAAAGAAGCCATCCAAGTCCAGGGTCAGACTACCATTGCAGGCAGGGCCAGGGCTGGCTGCAGGGAGACTGCAGGTCTGGGGGCAGGGGGCTGCTGCCTTGCCAATCAGCTGGGTCACTGGTGGGAGGCAAAAGCGAGGGCGCCCTCCAGGGTCATAGCATGGGTCTGAAGTGGCCTGGCTAAGGAGAAGCAGGAGGCCGAGGGCAATGGGCATGGCCACAGCAGAGCCGGCACCTGGAGACAGAGGTGGTCGAGGGGGCCAGTCAGCCGTTACCCTGCTGAGAATTCCTCGCAGCCCTGCCTGAGCCCCCTCCCCAGCTGCCTTGAAGCGAGGAAAATAGTTCCATCTGGGGAGAATTACTGTTTACATAACCCGGAGGGAAAGAACGCAAGCAAAATTGAGAATTTCGCCTGAACTAATCCAGAGCTTAACACCCTAAAGTTACCCATCAGTGTCAAGGGGTTGAGGCCCTGGGGAGAGGGTGACGAGGAAGCAGCAGGACCAACAGACGTGAAAACCTGGAACAGTGAGTCAAGGAAGAGATGGAGAAGCATGGCTGAGGGAGGAAATAGACAAGAGGAGCAGAAACCAACACAGACCTCAGGGAAAGCCAGAGGGATAGACGGCACGGCAGAAGGGCAGAGGATGGGACACCCGGAATGAAGCAGGAGGTTCCGGGGCTGGCAGGGAAGGGCAGGTCTGCTCAGAGATGCCCATGAAAGCCTGAGGACAGTGAGAAGCTCAAGAGGGAAGGAAGAGCTGGCGCCGCCTGGCAGGAAGTCAGAAGCAGAGGCCGAGGGCTTGGCCCATGTAGATCAGAGTAGAAGCCTTTCCCACATGAGGTTCTAACCTTGTTCTCCACACCCTGGGCACGGAGGGGGGATTATTGCTAAAAAGCCCTGGCCTCTCTGCTACCTACCCCAGCCCTCCACCCTTAACCCTTTCCCTTCTAGGTGTATAGCCAGAGAACGGCACTGAGGGAGGGATGGCAAATGGGAGCTGGAAACCAGCACCACCTTGTTGTTGAAGAGCTGACACATGGGGAGCTGGGAAGGCAGAGCCTGGCCTTCCTCTAGGACCTGGGTGTGGGACCCCCCCCCAGTACATTTCTAGGACTACCTGGGCTATGGCTCTACCTGCTACCCCAAATCTCATACTTAACCACAGTGCTCAGGCCCTCGGAGCAGATCAGGGAGCTGATGTTGGGGAATATATAATGTGGGAGGAAGGACAAAAAGGAGGAGGTGGTATAAAGTCTGCCAGATGCCAGGACACTTAGAAATCAGAAATCCAGAGCCCAGGAAATGTTCGGAGCCAGAGGACTGAGGCTCTCAACTTCCCCCTCGTGGGACTGGACATCTTGGGACTTTCCTGAGCCCCCTGTGTGAACCGTTTTCTCTGAATCTGCACATAGGCTAAGAGCTACACCACCCTGTGCTCCCAGGACATTTCCCATGCGATCTGTAGGCCTGGTCCCTACCCCAGGGAGCCGTTATGCACCCGTAACACAGCAGGACAGCCCCCTTGAGCCCAATTCCTCATGTGAGCATGTTTCTTGCTGGGTAATTTCAGGTCCCACCTCTGGCTCTTAACACCATGAAGTACCATGCTGTGCGTTTTCAGTGTTTCCTGGGGTAGGCAGAAGCTAGCCCCTGCCCATTTGGGCCTACAGACTTCCTCCCTCAGTGGCAGGCCCAGCCAGATTCCGTAGGCCCCACAGTCAGCCTTGCTGGGCCACTGGGCTTTGGCATGCATCTCCTACCTGGCTATTAGGGCCCAGCCATTGGTCAAACCTGCCTGGAGAGAAGTGTCCTGTGGTCAGTCGTCCCCACATTCTTCTGTAGGAGCAGCACACGGTGGCTCTCAGGAGGAGTGAGAGAGGCTGTTGAGTGGCTGTTCTCAGGCCCAGGCTAGTGGGGTTCTGGGCGGGAGCTCAAAGCAGAGCCCGCAGAATCCAACACCACCGCCCACCCCAGACTCTAGCCAACAGCAGCCACGCTTTCCCACAGGGACCCCTGCCAGCCATGCCACCCGAGACTGCGTGGGACAGGGGCGCTGTCGCCCCCAGCAGGCTTGCTGCCTGGTGCCCTGGAGCAAACTGGCCTAGGAAGATCCAGGCAGGTAGGAATATAGCTGCAGCAGGGGGGCCCGGGGTTGGGGTCCTGGCCTGTTCTCACTTGCCCCACCCTTCTTACCTCAGGAGTTTAGCTTGCCAGCCCCTCCCAGTCCTGCAACCCCTGCCACGTGTGTCAACTCGATGTTAAGATCTGCTTTCAAGCTCTGAAATCCCCCAAGGAAGCCTCAGTCCAGCCACAGGGGAGACCAGAGGCCAGGGCTGTCTGCAGGGAGAGCAATGGAGAGTACCTCAGCCGGGCTGGATTTGGGGAGCAAAAGAGAGTAGGAAAAGTCAAAGGCAGCTCCTCCAGCAACTGGTGTTTAAGGCTCCAGGGATTTTAGCTGAAGTACTTACAAAACTGCTGTGCTCTGAACACCCGAGTGTATGGCTTTCTTCTGAGCAAAGCAAGGGTCTGTGCGCTTTGTCCTGAGTACGCATCCCATTCACCACTATCTTGCCACTGTGCAGAACTGGCAGGGGCAAGGCTCAGGGACCTGTTGCCTTGGAGAAAGAGACACCCTATACTAGTTCCAGGTGACCCTGGGGGCTGGGATCTCGGAGGAGCAAGGACAGGGATAAACGAGAGCTATAAGGCCCATGAAAGCTGGAGGTACTCGTTGTCAGAGAAGGCTGGGGCCAACAGACCCCACATTAGAGAGCCGTGTTCCCAGCAAGGGCTGTGAGTGGGAGGGCGACACATGGACCTGGTCCCTCCAGCAAGCTCTCCCAGGTCTGCCCAGCCTTGGCCAGGTCAGGCCCCCTTCTAGACAGAAGGACAGGAAGCTGGTCTGTTCTACAGACCTCAGGTAGCGTTTGCTGTGGAGCAGGGATGTGCTGTGGCTTCCGAGGATACAAGGAGAGCCTTGCCCTGGCTGTCTGGACCTTCAGGAAGGTTTGGGTCTGCTGTGGGACCCTCTCTGCCTAGCAAGGAGTCCCTCAGTTGTCCCCAGAGAGACCTTTCTTCCTCACTTTGTGCCAGTACCCTGGGCTGGCTGGGTGATCACTACCCAGAAGGCATCCACTGTGGGATGAATGGGGCAAGCAGCAGGTAGAAGCAGCAAGAGGGAGAGCCACAACGAACCAGAAGTGGCTAGTCCCCGAGAACTGAGACCTTAACCCCCACAGGACCTGGCTGCTGGAGAGCTAGGACCAGCTTGCTCTCCACAGTGACTGGTCTGTCATCAGCCTTGAGAAAAGAAGCAGGGCAGCACAGTGTCCGCTCTGTGAAACAGCCTCAAGATGGCACTGTTGACATAGCAGGAAGGAGGCGGGGCCTGGCCTCCAGATAGGAGCAGCAGAACACTTCCCAAAACAGCTGCCTTTTCCGTGAAGGGCTCCGGAGGCCACACCCTCTCCAGAGGCTGCCCGCTTGTCTAGAGCCTTTTCTCTTCTCCCTAGCCAGGTTCTCTGTCCCTGCTCTGCTCCGTGGTGCTCTGGATGGGCTAGGAGTTGAGTGGAAAGCCAGGAGTGTTGGCACGTCCAGAAGTGGCTAGGTTAATAAGAAAGTGAGCGGCCCTGGGGCACAGGAGCGAGGGAGCTGAGACAGCCTGCCTAACCCTGAGGCTGCACCAGGAATAAGCAGGAGGCCGCAGGTCATACTATGGTGGGATCCACCTGAAGACTTTGAGGGCCGCTGAGAAAGCTGTGTACTAGTTTGTTTTCTGCTGCTGTGATGAACAACCAGGACCAAAAACAACTTGGGGAGGAAGGGGCTTATTTCAGCTTGAAGTTTACAGTTTGTCATACATGGAAGTCAGGACAGGGACTCAAGACAGGAGCGTGGGAGAGGCTGGGACTGAAGCAGAGACCGTGGAGCAGTGCTGTTCACTGGCTTGCTATCTCGATTGCTCAGCCTGCTCTCTTCGGTCAGGACCACCTGCCCAGAGGTGGCACTGCCCACAGAGGTGTGGGACCTCCCATAATGGGTAATCACAAACTTGCCTACAGGCCATCTGATGGAGGCGTTTTCTCCATTGAGGAGGCCCCAGGCAACGGTACGTGCATCAAGTTGCCAAGAAAAATGAGCAGAGATGAGTCATGCACATCAGGGCCCAGACAAGCCTAGCAGTGCCAAGGCAGGACCTTATTGACTATGGCACTGCAGCTCTCTTCAGAGGAAAGTTGACTTTGAGGAGCTAATTCTCCCCGGCCACTTTATGGCATCCCGGTATTGAACATCAGTCCTGCCTGGGCGTGCTTCTGGCTGGGTCACCTTGCTGCCCGAGCATTGTAGCTCTGACAATGGGCCGGGCGACAGCAAAGTGACCAAGCATGCAGCACGCGCAGCTTGACACCCTGGGCCAATGGTGGCTCACCAGAGCTGGGGGTGGGGCTGAGGTGGGCTGTTAAAAGATTTTATCATGCTCAGAAAAAGACTTAGAGCTTATAGATTATTTATTTCTGGAATTTTCCATTTAATATTTTCAAGCCACACTTAACCCTGAGTAAGTGAAACCCTAGAAGGTCAGACTGTGAATAAGGAAGAGCTTCTGTAGCACATTGAATTTTCTCTTTTTGTTTTTTTGAGACAGGGTTTCTCTGTGTAGCCCTGGCTGTCCTGGACTCCATCTGTAGAGCAGGCTGGCCTCAAACTCACAGAGATCCAACTGCCTCTGTCTCCCTGAGTGCTGGGATTACAGGTGTGTACCACCACACCCGTCTTACATTGATTTTTCACAAACTCCCTGAAGTAGCTGTTAGGACTATAGAAATGCCTGCAATCAGATAAGATATGGCCAACTGTTTTCAAAGGTTACAGCTAGTCATACTCATTGAACAGGTGACAGAAAGATTCAGAGAGTTACAGTAAAGCCCATCCCAGAGCCAGACAGAAACAGTCCTGAATGGCGAGCTCTGAGGCCTCCACCTCCTGCCGAGTGCAGAGTGCAGAGTGATGGGGAAGAGTCTGACCGCTGGCCTTCCCTTCTGACTTCTGTCTTCTCTTACAGCTCTCCAAGGGCTCAAGGTCGTTTGCCCTCCCCTCTCCGCCTTCTACCTGCTTTTTGTGATCTTTGTGTTGTCTACCATCTTCCACTGCCACCAGCGCCTGGCTCTGGTGCCTGCGCCCTGGGCCTCTTCAGCCCTTGTGGTCTTATCCCCAAGACACCTGCCCCCAGAGGGCATGTTCACCATTAATGTCAAAGGCCGCCTGGGGAACCAGATGGGCGAGTACGCCACGCTGTTCGCCCTGGCCAGGATGAACGGGAAGCCCGCCTTCATCCCCGCGTCCATGCACAGCGCGCTGGCGCCCATCTTCAGGATCAGCCTCCCCGTGCTGCACGGCGACACCGCCGGGAGGATCCCCTGGCAGAACTACCACCTCAACGACTGGATGGAGGAGCGGTACCGCCACATCCCGGGGCGCTATGTGCGCCTCACCGGCTACCCGTGCTCCTGGACCTTCTACCACCACCTGCGCCCCGAGATCCTGCAGGAGTTCACCCTGCACGACCACGTGCGCGAGGAGGCCCAGGCCTTCCTGCGCCGCCTGCGGGTGAACGGGAGCCAGCCCGGCACCTTCGTGGGCGTCCACGTGCGCCGCGGAGACTACGTGCATGTCATGCCCAACGTGTGGAAGGGCGTGGTGGCTGACCGGGGCTACCTGGAGAAGGCCCTGGACAGGTTCCGGGCACGCTATTCGGCTCCAGTCTTCGTGGTCAGCAGTGACGACATGGCCTGGTGCCGGAAGAGTATCAGTTCCTCCCTGGGGGACGTGGTGTTCGCGGGCAACGGCCTTCAGGGGTCACCTGCCAGGGACATCGCACTGCTCACCCAGTGCAACCACACCGTCATGACTGTGGGGACCTTTGGGATCTGGGCTGCCTACCTCACAGGTGGGGACACTGTCTACCTGGCCAACTTCACCCAGGCCAGCTCCCCCTTCCACTTGATTTTCAAGCCAGAAGCAGCCTACCTGCCCGAGTGGGTAGGCATCGCTGCCGACCTGGGACAGGTCCAATAGAGGAACCTCCAGCCGTGCCTCAGCCTGGGCGCCCGAGAGGCATTTGGAGGTGGGGCTCTTGCTGTAGCGCATGGAGCTTGAGTGCCCTGGAAATGTGAGCACCCCCTGGGCTTACCTCAGCAGCCATGTGCAAGGTGACTTGACTTGCTTTCTACCCAGAGTGCTAACCGCCACAGGCCTAACCTGCTGTATCTGCAGTGTTTTCCACAGGGGGCAGTGTCTTCATTATGCGTGACAGACACCGTGACAGTGAACCACTCGGGGTCCAGCTCGCACTTCCCCACTGCTGTCTATCACTGAGGGGCGTCAGGGCACGCACCCGAAGACAGGAGCTGATTCTGGGGTATGATGGGGTGCTGCCTGCTGGCTTGCTCCTCTCGCCTTATAACTCACCTGCTGCCTTATACTGCCCAGGACTGTCTGCCCAGGTAGTCACTCAGGGTGAGCCGGGCCTTCCGACATCCATCCAGAAAATGTACAGGCCAGTCTGGTGGGGCCATTTTTTTCAGTTTAGATTCAGTCTTCCAGAAAGACTCTAGCTTGTGTCAGGTTGACATAAAACTAGCCCAGCACAGTCAGCTTTCTGCTTTCCTTCCTGAAGGGCCCTGGGAGGTGTTTGGTGATGGAGCTGCTCCTGCCCTGGTGTTATGGGGACATGGCATCTCTCACTGGGAGTTTAGGCAGCGACCTTCTCAGAGTAGGGACAGGTCTCATGGTAGACAAACCTGGGTAGTGGCTGGGAGGGAGTCCAGAAGAGAACTTTGATCAGCAGGGCCCACTATCAGGCAGCAGATGCTCCAGGGCCCAGCTCTCCAGGAAGCCTGACTCCTCCGGTATAAAGACTGGCCCATAAGGTACTGTCTGACAAATGACCTTCTGCCCAGGCCCTGCCAGAGCCTGGGGGCCACGGCTTCTCAGTGAAGCTCTATTGGAGCTGCCTGGCCTTGGTCTCTCTGTCTCGGTCACCAGAGTCCCTAAGTGTGACACCAGTATCTGCCTCAAGCTGGGACACCAGGAGAAGTGTGAGGCAGAGCAGCAGTTCATCCCCAGATCCCTGCAAAGCCAGCTCCCTACTGGACTACATCCTCCCAACCCAAACCTATAACTTGTTTCCAGTCAACACCCAGCCCTCTCCCTCTGTCAGGCATTGGTGTCCCTGGGTTTGGTGCACTTGAAAACAAGGAGGTATGAGAACCTTTATCGGTGTAAATCTTTGTCGATATTTTTAAAAAAGTATAATATAGTCATTCACATTCACTTAGCATTGCTACCTCTGACACTACTTATTTTATATTTTTGTAATTACTATTTTCTATAAGTGTCCTGGCTACACGTATACCTTGTGCATGTCTGGTGTCCACAGAGGCCAGAAGAGGGCATCAAGTCACCTGGAATTGGAGTTAGAGATGATTGTGAGCTGCCACGTTGGTGCTTGCAATTGAACCCCTGTCCTCTGGAAGAGCAGCCAGGGCCTTTCACCCCTGAGACATCTCTCATCCCCCTTAGTTTACATTTTGTTTGTGTGACAGGTGTGCCAGTGAAGCCCTGGCTGGCCTGAGCCCCTTCCGTCCCAGATTCTGTGTAGTGGGCAGAACACATTTTGATCCCACCCCACAAGACCTTACCCACTTGAATCCCCATTTCCTGGCTCACTCCTAAGGCTGACACCTCTTCCTTTACAGCCACAGGGATGTGTCTGTCCTTGCCTTCCTGAAGTTCTTGGTGTGGCTCCCCTGGCAGGGAGAGTGTGTTGGGCATAGGTAGACTGCTCCAGGGTTCTCTGTCGCCAAGGCTGGTGGCCACCGCTAGGGAAAATGGTAGCTTGGTTCATCCAGAGAGAATCAAAAATTGGCTTTTTTTAATCACCTGGCCTCGGGAGGTGCACTTCCTCCGGACACATCTCGTCTATCAGGACACTCTGACAGAGGCTTTTGGAACAAGCTGGTGTGGCAGTGCCAGACCTACCGTAGGCTGGACAGTCTAGAGGACAGAAATGGACCCAGGGCCTCACAGTGCGGCAGTAGCACCTCTAACTCCACCACAACGCACTGGTCTCAGTCCTGGAGGACTGAGATCAGGGTGGGCCGACTACTTCCGGTGGCTGAGATAGAGGGCCTGTGTTCCAGCCGCATGTGGCCTTCTTCACCTGTGTCTGCTGATTCCTTTCTCTCCTCCCACCTTTGTTGTTGTTTGTTTTCCAAGTAGACCAGGCTGGCCTTGAACTCAGACATCTGATTGCTTCAGCCTCCAGGGTGAGAGTCTTACTCTGAGGCACAGGCTGGTCTTGAACTCAAGGTAATCCTCCTGCCTCAGCCTTCTGAGGGCCAAGATTGCAGTGAAAAGCCAACATGCCTACTTCCTGCGTTTCCTCTTGTAGAGACTCTAATCCTGCCGGGTCAGAAGGACATACCCACTCAGCACACTACTCTGACCTCACTTTGAATTGCATCTACACGTCTGTGTGGAGTGGAGACCCCTTCAGTGTCTAATGCTGGCTCCAAGGAGCCTTGTGGCCAGCCTTCCCCCAGTCAGCTTGCTTATCCTGCTGTCTGCTCTGCCCTTTCCGCTCCTTGTCCCCAGGGTCTTCCGTGAGAGACTGGGACAGGTTGCAAGAAGGCTCTTGGGGAATTTAAGCTTTGAGCCCTTCGACCCCCAACCGCTCTGGTTTTCTCTGTTTCCACAGCCTACGGCTTCCTGTTGGGCTGAGTTGATGGGGTCCAGTTTAGAGCTGCAGAGAGTGTATCTTGCCAGGGACAGTGCAGCTGTTGTTAGCTGCAGCTAGTTTTCCCACAGGCTAGCTAGCTGTCCCGGGAAAATCACTCGTGTTCCTCAGAGTGAGACTGTCTCAAACAGAAAAAGTAAAAGAAATGGAGGAGACACGGAGGGAGGGAAGGGGAGGAGAAATTAATTCCCTGGATGACATTGCCCTCACTTCCTTGCCAGTTCAGAGCATGTGGAAGGACGTTCCCAGCACACTTGCCTGGAGAGCAAAGGCTCCGAACCATCGCAGCCTCTGGCGAGGCACCAGCTTACTGTTCCCTGCTCGGCTCTTTTCATCAGTCAGGCTGGGGGGGCAGAGGTGGAGGCAAATGGCAATGGCAGCCATGTGATGAAGGGCGCCCTGCCCAGCTCTGTGTTTGCTTGGCCTTGCTTGAACAAAGATATAAACAGCTTTTACTTTACAAAAGCCCAAGCGGGGACTGGTAATCTGCCAATGACAATAAATGATGCATTCATCCAGCAAATATTTACCTGGCCCTTAAGTGGGTTGAAGACGCCCCAGTGCCTCAGCAGAGGAGAGGAAGTGAGCAGACGCTGCCTAGGCTAAAGGTGGCCTAGCTCACAGCGTGTGCTCCTTAGAGTCCAATGATGACATCCTTTCTTGGAAAGAGGGCCACTGCCGCTGAAACTGGTCCTTAACCCACTAGAGCTGGTGCTACATAGTGGCAGAGTAGAGACCAACTTGTAATAAACACTGCTCTGCAGCCCTAAGTGTCCTTTCGCCTTACCCCATCCCATCTCACAGGCCCTGAGGAAAAGCAGGGTTGAGTGTGCACACCAAATAAATGACAGTCTCACCGAACAAAAACCTCTTGTGCGCAGCTGACAGGCTGGGTAGTCTCTGCTGTGTACTTAGCTCTCAGAGACTTTGGCTTCAATTCTCAGCAACACACAGGCGTCTCACCCCCCCCCACACACACACCCCAAAAATTAACTTCCTGTTGACCTTGGCTGAAGCCTGTCTTTGAATCATTGTACGAAATCAAATGATATGAAGGGAGTATTGGGATGAATCAACAGGGTATGAACCTAGCTACACCAGGAAGCTGTCAGACATGTCAGGTTCTTCCACGAAGGACCCAAGAACTTTTGCTTATGTGTAAGTGAACTCAACTTTTGGAGTTCATGGAGGTCAGGATTATGAGCTTTCCGGAAGAAGCTACTGTCCACCTGTCACTGGATCTGAGCTGAGCCTCATCCAGGTGGGGCTTACCTATTGGCTCAGTCCAAGTTTTGAGCTCAAAGGGAACTAGGCTCAAGGCTGAACAGCTCTCTCCACCCCCTCATCCTAGGCGGAAGAGCAGAGGCTATGGGGTTTGACCCTGATAGGCCACAAGTTCCTGAATTATGCTGTGCCATGCACAGGCTCGAATACCAGCTGTTGTGTCCAACTGCACCTTTGTTAGCTATGTGCTTCTGGGGAAACGACCCAGGCAAAGAGACACAAATTAGACGAAACGGCCAGTAAAGCAGATTCATGGAGACAGAAAGGGACTGAGAACAGGTCAGGGAGGAGTTAGTTCACGGGCACAGGGTTTGGGTTCTAACAGGACAAGGCAGTTATAGTGGGTTGGTTGGACCTCAGTGGAACCCCACCCCTAGGGAACTGCACGCTTAAAAAATGACCCAGAAAACCAGACCTGGTGGAACATGCCTGCACGCTCAGCAGTTGGTCAAGAAAGCAGGAGCGTTGCTGAGAGTTCAAGGGCTGAAAAGTGAGACCCGCCGGGCAGTGGTGGCTCCTGCCTTTAATCCTAGCATTTGGGAGGCAGAGGCAGATGGATCTCTGTGAGTTCAAGGCCTGCCTGGTCTACACAGAGTGCCAGGGATACACACAGAGAAACCCTATCTTGAAACAACCACCCCCCCCCAAAAAAAAGGAAGGAAGGAAGGAAGGAAGGAAGGAAGGAAGGAAGGAAGGAAGGAAGGAAGGAAGGAAGGAAGGACAAAGTGAGACCCTGGGCCGGTGAGGTGGCTCTGTGGAAAGGTGCTTGGCACTAAGCTTGACAGCTTAATTCCCCAGGACCCGAATGACAGCAGGGGAAAACTGGGTCTCTCTCCTCTGGCCTCCGCTCATACATAGGATGCCACCCCCCACCCCTGCACACACACATGAAAAGAAGCAAAGCTGCTTCAAGAAAAGGAAAAACAGCTAAGATTTGCAACAGTCAGAAAAATACAGCCTGAGTTCAGAGTTTGAATCCTACCTCTGCTGTCTA